GTCAACAGCGGCATGAATGGAGCGGCAAACAACAGGATACACAGACTGCAGAGATGAGCACATAGATGAGTGATAGGCACATGCATACCTGCCCTGAAGCTGTGTGTGTGTGTGTGTGTGTGTGTTTATGTTATTGGGTAAAAAAAAATATGATCCGAGCGCCAGGAAAACAACCTGAGTCTTGTTCTTATCAACAGAGTATAGCAAGGCCATCTGCAGATTAATGTCACACAATCTCAGTGTTTCACTGTGCCTCAATCTGTCTGGCCTACTAATCAGTAACTGCTGGAGAGGAGAACTGTGTGCACAGTAAGGGGAGTTATCCTGAGGGGCCGCTGTGTCATATTTAGTTTCCTGCTAAATACTGAGACATCCCAGCCTTGTCTGCGTGATTGTCAATGTAAGCAAGAACCGACACTGCTGACAGGTTTGAGAATGCATGAATTACTTCTCCAGGGTTTTTAAATACACGGAGGAACATAGCAGTGCTCTTTCTTTTCAGCTGTTCCCAACTATTCTTTTACATTATTGATTAATCTGTAGAACATTTACTCAATTAATTGTTTGTATATAATATGTCAGCATAGTAGTGACAAATCGCCATTACATTTCACCTTGTTGGGTGTCTTCAAATGTCTTGTTTTGTCCAACCGACAGTCCAAAACACAAGAATATTTATAGTTTATAATGATACAAAACAGAGAAAACTAGCAAATCTTCATATTGGAGAAGCTGCAACGAGAGAATTTTTGGCAGACATTAACTGTGGATCAACTATTCGATTAATTGACTAATCGTTGTGGCTCCAAAGTGAAGATCTTTGCTTTAGGAGTTGTAACAGGGATTTTTGAGAAGCCAGTATTCAGTAAATAATCATCAAATGAATCCATAATGAAAATAATTGTTATTTGTAGCTCTCCTGACCATTACTTAAAATAAAAACACGCTAACACTCAATTCACTTAAACCTTGAGAACAAATGCTAATCATGGGGATTAAAGGAAGAGAATATGATTACATAACAATCAAGCTTTAAAAAAAATACTCTTAGCGCTCTACTTTACAAAGCCTTGATGTCTTAATCACATTAAAATTGCTTATCTGACCGGGGGTGATTTTTTTTTTTGTCTGTTTCCATTTCCTTCCTTTGTTGCATAAAACGCCTGCAATATCTCAGAGGCAGGGAGTGCAGCTGAGCTGATCTATCCCTTCAATATTGCGGTTTCACAGCAGGACATTGCTAAATCCCGACTGGGCTACGAGAGAAAAAAAAATACAATCATTCCTTTGCTTTCTTTCTCTCTTGTTGCACACTTGCACACATGCTTAAAGGTCATAAGTTTCCATGGCGAACGCGGGTCAAGACCTTGATTTTCTTTCCCTGTCAGTCAATCACCTCTGCCCTCCTTCCTCATGTGAGTCCAACAGCTGCACAGGACTGCTGATCTAAAAGGAATATAGCATTTCGAATGTGGATTCTCGAGATTACTCACTCCCACCTATCCGGTTTTTATAGAGATCACAGACGGAGCTTCATAAGAGGCTCCAAAACAACCCGGACAATGAAACCGTTGGTCCATAACACCAGGTCAACTGTAGCCTCTACAGAACTGACCAGTCCGCCTGCTTGCTCCATGGTCAGGGAGAAACAATGGCATTTGTTCCACACTTTCAGGCATTTTCCACCGGACACGCCAGCAGCATGGAGAGGAACATAATGGAGGGAAATTCAGTATTACATGACAGGGAAGGGGAGATCCTGACGTAACCCATAGGCACTTTTTTCCTGTGGAAGCCCCTGTCCCGCACGCACAGTGGCGTCTCATGTGATGCATTTAAAGCTGCTGACTTTTCGGGAGAGTGCCATGAACACAATTCATCTGCTAGGTACATGTTAGCAGCAAATTCTTTCACAAAGACAATCGCACAGGAACTCCTCTACTGTATTTACAATAAATTGAAGGCATATGAATCTGCTGATTATATTCTCGTTTAATCGGTGATAAGATTAAAAGTTTCAGCACTTTTGGCAAACGTCTGTGACGCTGTCTCCGATCCTTTGATTCATGCTTTGGTGGGAGTCGTTTATGTTCAGGCTACATGAAATACACGATTAAATTCTGTTGAACAATGGCTTGTATCCCTGTAACTGCTCCGTGTGTGCTCTTTGAGAATACACCAATAAAAGATCCCTGTAAATGGAGAGCAGTGCCTTCAGCCTAAACTGGAATACCCGTTCTAAGTTTAGCTCGGTTCTGTGACAGAGCAATCAGTTCACATGCCCCCCCACCCCACCAGAAAAAAAAAAAAAAAAAGGAACAAGCTGCTTTTTTTCGCAGAGCTTTCGCTACTGCTTTGCCCCTGACAACACTACTCTCACAACAAACCCACACAGCTATACTGACACTAGGCATGTCTAAAACACTCCAGGTTGCACAACAGTGGTGACTGATACCTTCCACTGATTCATGACAATATCATGACTACAGTCGAACTGTCAGAGGGTTCCTTGTTCCCTGCCTCTCGTGATTAATGACTACTGAGTTAGGCTGTAAATTACCACAATATCACAGCCTGAGAGAACATTTTCTTACATGTAACTTTGGGTTAAATGCACACACACACACACACACACACACACACACACACACACACACACACACACACAAAGGTTACCAGGACTGGACTTGGCAGCCAGCTGGCACTGCGCAAATTAAAGCATTGAGGGCAGCCCTGAAACGAAACCAGGCATCCAGCAGGAACTGAGACACCTCTCCCTCTCTCTCTCTCTCTCTCCCTCTCTCTCTCCATATAGATAAACGACTACATTGTGTAATGTAAGCATACCATGAGTGATGATATGACATGGACCAGGGTTATCTTTACTTGCTACAGCCTGCCCCGCCCTTCATCCCTCCAATGCATTCAAACACTAGTCCCCCCCTCTCTCTCTCTCTCTCTCTCTCTCTCTCTCTCTCTCTCTCTCATTGCGAAAAACTACACAGCTGGAGTTAAAAACTACCTGATTTAACTTGACACAATCCATAAAAAAAAAAAAAAGTCCGACATTGATTAACCACAGTAGCATTTCGTAACTACGACCTAACGGAGCTAGCTTAGCATAAGTCTCAGGACTTTTAATAGTAACTTCAACCGTGCTGTAGTTTACACTGACTGGTGAACTACTAAAACTTCAGGTTTTAACTATATATTCTTACACATCTGAGATCCTCGTTAATATAGCTTTTATTTAATTGAATCATCACGTTTTTTTTATGCCCATCACCAACCTCCTCCCATCGGGGAAGTAACTTTAACTTAGCCCCTAACTAGCTCTCACGTTAGCGAAATTAGCCACAGCCCCTTTTAGTATAGGAAAAAAAAAGTTAAAAGATACAACGTGGAAGTGTTGTTTTGAGCTCACCTGGCAAGGGTTTATTCCTCTTGGTGGTTTGTGTATAACTGACGAGTTAATTCTCCTGTTCGGTGCCAATTTACGGATCTTTTTCTCCCCGTTTTTCGCTGCTCAGGAGCGGCGGCACCATCGATTGACTGACTGACACAACCGTCAGTTAGCCGAAGTAGCACAGTGGCGCTTCCGGTGGGAGATTTCAAAATAAGACGAGCAGCAAAGGAGGTGTGAGTTGTTTTTTTGTTTACACTGTACAAATGGTGGAAAGTAAATCTTTTACAATTTTGAGGTAATTGTTTATTTTTTTTTTTTACAGCTTAGCTACTAGTTATTTATTTTCCAGACTGAGCTTTTTTTATATAAAACATATAATGACTGTAAAATATGAATATGAATATGTACAAATATGAATTTGTACATATAAGAGTATATATGTGCTCAATCGCGACCAGGTATAACATTAAAAAGCTACTTAAAATGAATGCATCAGTCATAATAATAATCCACAAATGTTATAATCACATAACTTACCATTCTGTATTACTTTTTACTTGTTGTAATAGATTATTTTTACACTGTTGTGTGGCTAAATTATTTAAGTATATGACTTTGCAAAGTGCATAAGTATTAATGAACATATGGAAATGTGTGAGAGGATTATGTAAAGACAAGATGAAAAGTATAAAATGCCTAAATATAATTAGTAATATAGCTCATTCCAAACAACGAGGAGGGTTGGCAAATAATTAGGTTTAAGCAATAGAAGTGTCAAGCCAGAGGGGGGAAAAAACACTTTATTTTGGAATCAGCTCACTTCCGATCACGCAATATTTAAAACTGGTGAACTTTATGCAAACTATGAAGAGGTGCGGCAGTCTGACGTCAGGTCCCTAGAAAAGTTCTTGGTTACTTTATCCTGAGGCTCCCATAGGCACTGGGTCCCCACTGTGAGGTAGAGAGGCGTCTAGGGGTCAACAGTAAAATTAAGATTAGTTTGATTTATCTTGAACTCATCTGAGGATATTCTTAAATTTGGGGGGGGGGAGTAATTACTACAAACCAACTGACACTCTTGGGATTCTTTGGTATAGTTTTAAATACAGCAATGTATGGCAATCAGAGGTTATTTATGCCACAGGTCATATCAAATTCAAATATAGTAACTGAGGCACATGTTAGCAGTGTTTCCACGCAAATGATAATAACACTATGTGAACACAAATTCGATGTCTGAAAGAGGAGAAATAAAAAGCTAAAACCATCTTGTGTTTCTCACAATCAACCCCTTATAGTGTTTTAGTACTCATGCAGAAGCCATAAGCTAATTTTGTAATTTGAACAGAGATATATTTAATGCAGAGTGGTGTAATGCACACTTTCAGATGTACAACACACGTACAGAGCACTGTGTATACAGTTGGAGAGGGTGAGAGAACTGCACACAAATTAGAAAAAGTATTTCCCTTAATTGAAACTTAAACACTTTACAAATGCTGTAAATAAACACATTTCTATAAACCTTTAAAGGACCAGTTCACCCCAATCATAAAAACATATATTCCCACTTACCCTTGCATTAAAATGAACATTATTCATTGTCAAGGCAGCACCAGCATGGATATTTTATTGAAAGAAAACTAAAAAGAAACAATGAACTTCTCATACAGAAAGCTAAAAACAGAAAAGCTATGTGTCCTAAACTGCACAGTTTATAACCACAATAAAGAAAACAAGCAGCCAGACAAAACCAGAAACTAGCCTTACGTCAACACAGTTCCTTATTTGACTGCAAGACACACCTCAGGGTTGAATCAGTCAATTTGGTTCTCAAGCACAGAAGGATGTGAGTGTCTTACAGCCCAAGAATGACTAATACAACTTGACATTTAGGGGGAATTTGGTTACAGACCAACAGGTTTATGGCTTACACACATTGATAAGCTGCTGTTCTGCATGTAGTAACCAGCGCCAGGGCCAGGAGGAAACAACAAGGTGGTGGTGAAGGAGTGTCAAATCTTCAAGGTCAAGGAACGGTGCCACGAGACTAACTGCCATGAAGGATTGACCTCTGATTAATCTAAAGACAGATTAGATTCATCAAAGGCTTTAAGGTCCCATACCACAGTAAAGTGACAAGACATTTAAAAAAATAAACCAAATCCATTATTTAAGTAGGTTAAAGGGAAATTGTATAAAGGAAGCAAAAAAAAAAAAGATGCCTGTTACACAATCTAGTAGAGTTTTCCTTCTGTTTGTTATTTCACATCAAGAATCAAGAATTTAACTTCACAAAGCACCAAATAGGTTTTTTTTTTTATATCACTGCAGGGCTGAACAGCTTGATTTAATCCCCATTTGGTTACAGAAATGTTTTCTCTGGAGCCCTTTCAACACCTTTCTTTCATCCACTGACAGAACAATCTAAAGTGTAAATAAAGTGATTATCATGATAATCATGGCCTTTAGCTGTGATTGATGGATGAGCGTACTCAACTCAACTGAGACCACCCAAATCCCCACTTAGGCAATACATTCTTATCAAATTGGTCTAAAAGCTAAAGCTGCAAATATCATGATAAAAGGATGAAATATGTTTTAAAATACCACAGAGAATACTGCAAAAGAAGAAATAAAACAAATACTGCAATCATTTTCCAATACTATTCAACCCAACTTCAGTGTATCAAAAAAGATAAGTATTTAAGATTTTAAATAAGCAGCAGATACGACATTAGTGGTCAAACTCAACATCTGATTTATGTTCAATCAAAAATAAAGTAATAAAGTGCAATAGGGTTCAGTACTGAATACAATCAACCTCAAAGAAAACCCCAACTGTATATACACACTGATAATGCACTTATAAAAAACATTATTAAATTCTATTTTAAGGGTTTATACACATTTAGTACTTTTAATTCTGCCTATCAACTGCCTATCAGTTAATTATATCTTTATATCCTTTTGTTATATCTCTAGTCTCTACCTATTCCATATCACTTCATACACACTCACAGAGCTCCTTCTTTTTAGCACCTGTGTGGTGGGTTAAAGTTAAAGTGTCAGGACTCTGTAATCATGCATAGTTCAGGTTGTTGTAATCCTCCTTTTTCATGTTGGATTTCAATTGATGTATGTAATTTACAACTTTCTTTTAATCTGTGTTGATGCCGTTTTTCCAACCTGCAGCGTCGACTGCAACCGTCCGAGGAGAAGGATCTTCTTTTTGAATTTCCTCTCCACATTTGTAGGTTTTTTTGGGGGGGAAGGTTTTTCCTTATCTTCATAGGGAGCTTGGACTGGGGTGGGAACTGCCGTGGCTGCTGCTGTTGACACTGTATGTGATATTGGGATCGACCTTCAGCCCCACCAGCATAATTTCTACATTTTGAGTTACTCATTCATACAAACAGCCACAAACTCTCCTTTAAACCTTTAAACTCTCCAAATATGACCACATTATTGATTTTCTTCCCCCCCAGCAGTAGAGTTGTCGGCCTTGTGCCCTCAGTCAGTGAGATGTGGAGACTGGGAGCAAGTCCTCCATCGCACAGTTGGGCTAAAAAAGAGTCTGGGTGATTCTTTTGTATTCCCATTGCTGCACCCTGTAATATTGTACAGGAAGTCATATAGAGTCAGCAAATATCACCTCACTTCCAGGTCGCTGCAGCGGGTCGAACGCCTGCACTCCCCTTTGTGCCTTTTGACCCCAGGGACTGACCCGAGCGGCTCCGCAGGTCACGCTCGGCATTCTCGTTCTGCGCCTGCTCCTCGTCGTACCTGGTGACACAGCCGAGGGAAGCAGAGACAGAGAAATCATGTGGTGAGGACACATGTGAGGCAGTTTCGCTATTTGCCTTTACATGGACCCCTCCCCCCTTGCTAAGCACTAATGCGCCCCCCCCCCCCCCCCCCCCCATTATGCTCACTGTTGTTTGGGGCTGTTTCAATGGCCCCTTCGATAGCTCAGTTGGTAGAGCGGAGGACTGTAGTGGATAGGTCAGGCATCCTTAGGTCGCTGGTTCAAATCCGGCTCGAAGGAGTAACATTTTAACTTTTCTATCACTGATTAAATGGACGACTCCTAACTGAGTGACATACTTTTTATAATAATAACAGCAGCTGTTCTGTTATTGTCAAAATTAATTTGAAGTATAAACTGTACATAAAACCCCAAATAGAGACCACAACAACTGCAGGAAGTTTGTGTAAAACGAGCAATTTGGACAAATAATTTCCTGTGGATATCACATCAGCGATGAGTTTTCCTGATATTTTTAGAGCCTTTCTATACAATCATCTACTGTATGTAAATAATAGGCTTCTTTTTTTGACAAATGCTATATTTTCTTTTCCCTGACGCTTGGCCATTGTTCTATTAACTCTTTGGTTATTTTAACTGCATACTTTCGTAATGCAGGATGAGCTTGTGTTCAGGTCTTCGCCCGTTCTTTTCTTACACCCCTTAAAAACAAGAAGGCCTTGCGATGCCCTGTGAAGATTTGGTGACCCTTAGAGGAGGTTGGGACCGGTGCTGTGAGCCCCTGACTTATCCTCTAGCGCCACCACCAGGTCAAGGTTTTCTCATATGCTGTAATATATCTTAATATCTACTCAGTACACACATTCATTGACCCCAGAGGATAATAACAGTGATCTTCTGACTTTGTCCATTAATTTGGTTTACGACCAACTACCTGCAAAATGAATGACATTCCCATCAGCCTCAGCTGTACTCTGTGTATAGTGCGAATTAGCAAATGTTAGCATGCTAATACACTAAATCAACACAGTGAACATGGAACAAATCACCAGTAGCATCATGTTGCAGCAGCCAACAAGTTGTAAAGTAGGTATCATAGTAAAAACCTACAACACATGATTAAAAGCTACTCCTTCGAGCCGGATTTGAACCAGCGACCTAAGGATTCCTGTGACCACCACATAGATTGACACATCCACTACAGTCCTCCGCTCTACCAACTGAGCTATCGAAGGTAGACAGAGTGCTGTGACTGCACCACTAACAACATGCCTGAGTCAGAGGTGAGGTGGGGAAAGAGAAAAACAGTCATTTCTTCCCTGGTTGCTTTTACAAAGACTTACTAAGTAAACAAGGTGCTAAAGCACACACTACCATCACTATTGTGTTCAGAACGGGGCACCTATTGTCAGACGACCCGTAGTGTATTTTGTAAGACCTACAGGTAACTGGTTTGTAACTGAATTTGCACAGTGAGTAATGGTTATCAGTCACAACAGACCTCTTCTTTTTTAAATCAGCCAAGCATAACCAACATGTACTGGTTTAAACGCTTAAAAACCACTCCTTCGAGCCGGATTTGAACCAGCGACCTAAGGATTCCTGTGATCACCACTTGATTGACACTTCCACTACAGTCCTCCGCTCTACCAACTGAGCTATCGAAGGTGACGGATGACGCAACTGCACCAGTTGTAACATGCCTGAGTCAGCGGTGAGGTGGGGAAAGGAATAAAGCAGTAATTTCCTCCCAGGTTGCTTTACACAGACTTATTATGTACATAAGGTGCTTAAGCACACACTACCATCACTATTGTGTTCAGAATGGGTCAGATGACACGTAGTGTATTTTTTAAGACCCATAGGTAACTGGTTTGTAACTGAATTTGAACAGTGAGTAATGGTTATCAGTCACAACAGACCTCTTCTTCTTTAAATCAGCTAAACGTAACCAACATGTTTTCCAGCATTATACGTTCCATCATGTTTGTGGTGTTGTACTCTTCACAACACACAAGGCTCTTCTTTTATTCTGCATTCATTTGACTTCAGGTGTAAAAGCTTGAAAGCTAGTCCTTCAAATATCTTTTCTTCACTAATCATTTTAGCTGTGAATTAGATCTGTTGGTAGGATTGTTTTTTTTAGCTACTGTGAGCTGAACCATATGCAATTTAAACTGTTCTAGAAATAATATCATGAGATGAACTTTGTTCTTGCCAGAGACACATTTATAGCCAGTCCACTAGTAGTAGTTAATTAGCTACAGCATATTTTAGACTTGAAAAACAGTCATATAATATAATCTGTTTGTTAACTGCAGTTGTACAATATGTTCGACTGTAAACTACAGGATTAAATGCTTAAAAGTCACTCCTTCGAGCCGGATTTGAACCAGCGACCTAAGGATGCCGGGTGTAACCTCTACAGTCCTCCGCTCTACCAAGTGTAGAATGTTTCAACACAGGAACAAAGAGGTTGGCACAATCAGAATAGTTCAAACACAACAATGAGGGTAGAGAGCAGTGGGCTGTGCTTAACAGGGTCGGGGTGGGGGTATTGTTTGAGTAAAGCACCTTGTTTACATACTCCACAGTTCATGTAAAGGCAAACAACAGGGGGCAACAGGGAGACCCTTACTTGTCACTTCACTACATGAGGTCCATAACAATAATAATAATTCACTAGTAGGACCATTATGTACGAGCTGTATTGTTGAAACCTAAATCCTAAACCTATAACATGAACTAGTGAACAATTAACAAGTCCTAGTTAGTCAGAGTATATTTTAGAACTGTACTGAAGTGATTAGTATGTATGTACGACGGTAGATTACAGGTTTAGACGCTTAAAAGTCACTCCTTCGAGCCGGATTTGAACCAGCGACCTAAGGATGCCTGGTTTAACCACTACAGTCCTCCGCTCTACCAACTGAGCTATCGAAGGGTTGAAATATGACCAAAATAGATACCAAGTTGACCTTAGTAACAGGAGAACGCAAACTTTAGCTCCTGACTGATATTTTTAGCCCCTGTGTGACCCCCTGTTAGAGGTTGTGCTGACTGTTAGATATTTAATGTCACTCACAGGACTTGATAGTTGCCCAGGGCCTCTCGGGGCGGGCTGCGATTCCAGCGGCAGTCTGGGATGTCCCCGTTGGGCGTGACAATGTTTAGAGTGTCGTTGATGAGGTTGTACTTCAGGATGCGGTCGTTGGCTGTGCTGGAGGTCAGTGAGGGAGAGGCGTTGACCTGAGCATGACACAGACAAAGAAGGTAGCTTTTACATTTGAAGAGGAGTGTGTTTTACACCAAAACACAAGGAGACACTGTAAAGAACAGTAATTAGCTTCACAGCAACTGGGCAGAGCCTAATAATGTACTGCAGGACCCAAACAGGAATGAGCATGTTGTTTTATTCTCCCTATCTCCATATAGAAGCTCTTACACGGCAGGAAATTCTGCTGCTAATGTGCTTTTACAGTTGTGCTCATTAACATACAATCAAAGAATAAAACTTGATAGACACAGGAAAACTTACATGAGTGCCCAGAGAGAGATGCTTTGATATCAACACACACACACACACACACACACACACACACAAGACACACCTAATTCCTTGAGTAGATGGCACAAACAATACTAATAATAAATAATAATAGCTTCCCAGCTTTTATTATGCATTACCTGTTAATGTGAGAGGGCTACTTGCATGAATAATGAACAAAGGAAAGAGTTACTGACTAGGTTTGTGGCACACTTTTCTTCAGTCCCTCACCGAGGACCGTTTATGCCCTACAACCAACTTTCTGCTGCCCAAAATAGATCAGATCAGTGTCTGTTAACAGAAATAGTTCAGACCTAGCCTGGAAACCCAGCAACTCATTGTGCAGCTGTCAAAATGAGTCCAGTAAAATATGACAGCCACATAATAAGCACAATACTAGAATGTAAAAAAAACATGATACAATGATCACAAAAGGCATTTCAAAGGCAGGTTTTTTAACACTAGCCAGCTCGTAGCCTGTATCAGCCTGTGCACACAGTATTTGCAGCAGTTTTTTTAACTGGAATATTGGATTTTATAGGTTAAAGACACACCTTCAAGTCACACTTAGATACAGAGAGGCACACGTCCAAACACACACACATAAAGATCACCCTTAAGGGGATTTAAAGTTGCTTAACACTCAAGGAAAAAGAACGTGGAGTCACAGTGTAAGCATGTTAAGTATCTTTGGGCTTGGCAAAGGTAAGGCAAGGTGCCTTCAGGAACAAGGCGAAGGAAAACATGTTTTCCTTTTACACAAGAGAGGTTAATATTTAGTGAATTAAACCCTTTTATGTGAGTGTTTAGGAGGGTATGCATGCATGACTCCTGTTAAATTACTCACCTCGATAAGCCACGGCTTGAGCTTGTCGTCAATAATGATGTCATACCCGTAACACTCAAAACAGTGCTTGTCGTTGTTCATCACAGGCTGGCAGAGGGGAAAGACAGAGACTCAATTAGGAAGGGGAACTGACCCATGTTGCGGGCAAATGAGATATGCTGGGAATTCTTTAATGCAACAGAAACTGATTCAGCGGGGAAAGGTGTTAGCAAATGATCGGACTAAAAATATAATAGTGAATGCGACTATTAGTACACAGAACAGTCTGTGTGTCGAGGCATGAGAGGGGAAGTGAGTCGGATCACTTAGTAGAAAAGGGAAGTGTACATTAAGTTGAGGGCCCTGCTGTGCTAAAAACAATAAGACATCATCACCGCATCGAGGAGGTTTAACAGCTGTGTGTTTAAAAGTGCAGAAATCACCAAGGGGCCATTCCTAAAAGCAGCATCCTAACAGGAACAAAGTCAAAACACTATCACTGGAGGCTTCAACGTGTGTGGTGTAGTGGTTTTTGTAGTAAGTGTGGCTGCTGGATTACATATGTGAGAAGTGGCACAATATAACATTTACTCTACTACTGGATTTCAGAACAATTTTGAGGTATCTATACTTGAGTATTTACATTGTATGCTACTTTATAGTTGTACTCCACTATAATTCAGAGGGAAATGTTTTACTTTTTTACTCCACTACACTTACTTCACAACTATAGTTGCTAGTTACTTTGTCAGATTCAAAGTTTAATCCAAAATATAAGAGCAGTTTCTAAAATATGTTACAGGTAAAAGTATATAAGTAATTAACAGACAATATCAAAATGTTGCTTTCAGGTTAATTGTACAGTAATACATTTACTTTACAAGACCTTTACATGTAATGGAGTATTTTATATATGGTGATATTAGTACTAATTTTCTATAATAACGATAACCTAAAGAGAATCATCACCTGAATCACTTGAATCCCCTCAGCATTACAGAGCTATAAAGTGACTTTCAGCTCATTTTTCAGCTGTCCTACGTGCAACTTAGTTAACTCTAATTGTATCATTTTCAGCAGCTGTTTTTAGCAAAAACAGTAAACTACCTTCTCAGCACCAAAGGGTTAGCTACTAGCGTTGGCGGAGACCAAAGATAGAGCTAAAACAGAGTGAATATTGGACTTACATTTGCACTATTTTGTTCAGAATGGGGGACCTGTTGTCAGACGACCCGTAGTATATTTTTTAAGACCCCAGGTAACTGAATTTGCACAGTGAGTAATGGTTATCTGTCACAACAGACCTCTTCTTCTTTAAAATCAGCCAAACGTAACCAACATTTACTGGTTTAAACGCTTAAAAGCCACTCCTTCGAGCCGGATTTGAACCAGCGACCTAAGGATTCCTGTGATCAACTGTTTGTCTGGTACACCCACTACAGTCCTCCGCTCTACCAACTGAGCTATCGAAGGTAGTGGTTTATCCTTTCCGTGGAAAAAAGAAAGCAGAAATTGTAACTGACGAAGACAAGAACATAACATGATGATGCTTCTACTTTCTACATCATTGTCAATATGTTTAGCCACTATCTAGCAAATAGCAACTAATAATAAACTTTAGTTCACTAGACCAGTAGTGAATTTTTTAAGACCCATGGGTAACTGGTTTGTAACTGAATTTGCATCTGAATTTGCACCTGAATTTGCACATTGAGTTATGGTTCTTTAAATCAGCCAAACGTAACTAACACGTACTGGTTTAAACGCTTAAAAGTCATTCCTTCGAGCCGGATTTGAACCAGCGACCTAAGGATTCCTGTGACCAACTCTTTGTCTGGTACATCCACTACAGTCCTCCGCTCTACCAACTGAGCTATCGAAGGTAGACAGGGTGACGTGACTGCACCACTAGCAACATGCCTGAGTCAGAGGTGAGGCAGGGAAAGAGAGAAAACACAGTAATTTCCTCCCTGGTTGCTTTACAAAGACTTACTAAGTAAACAAGGTGCTAAAGCACACACTACCATCACTATTGTGTTCAAAACGGGGCACCTATTGTCAGACGACCCGTAGTATATTTTTTAAGACCCACGGGTAACTGGTTTGTAACTGAATTTGCACAGTGAGTAATGGTTATCAGTCACAACAGACCTCTTCTTCTTTAAATCAGCCAAACGTAACCAACATGTACTGGTTTAAACACTTAAAAACCACTCCTTCGAGCCGGATTTGAACCAGCGACCTAAGGATTCCTGTGATCACCTCTTTGTCTGGTACATCCACTACAGTCCTCCGCTCTACCAACTGAGCTATCGAAGGTAGTTGTTTATCTTTCCGTGGAAAAAAAGAAAGAAGAAATTGTAACTGGCGAAGACAAGAACAGAACATGATGATGCTTCTACTTTCTACATCATTGTCAATATCGATGTATTGAGATTAAAAAGATCTCAGCTACCGTTTTTACAATATACATATTGGGAACTAATTAAGTGTAAAGTTTTCACTTTTCTGTCAGTAATTCACTAGCAGCAACATGTATACTATCTGAATTTACCAGCTATATTGCTGTGACCTAAAAATGACATTGTACCATGTACTTTGTTGAAAGAAATCTACTTGAAATGTAGACAAGTCAGAGACCCATATATAGTTCACTAGTCCTAGTGAGTTAGTTACAGGGTATTTTAGAAGATGACTGTTTTGATTGGTCTTCCATGTTTTAATCTGTATGTTGAACAGTAGCCTATCTATGTACAGTAAGAACGGTCATGATATAGCTTTTAACTTGTACAGTGTGTACAGGTTTAAACGCTTAAAAGTCATTCCTTCGAGCCGGATTTGAACCAGCGACCTAAGGATTCCTGTGATCAACTGTTTGTCTGGTACATCCACTACAGTCCTCCGCTCTACCAACTGAGCTATCGAAGGTAGACGGGCTGACCTGACTGAACCACTAGCAACATGCCTGAGTCAGAGGTGAGGCGGGGAAAGAGAAAAAACACAGTAATTTCCTCCCTGGTTGCTTTACAAAGACTTACTAAGTAAACAAGGTGCTAAAGCACACACTACCATCACTATTGTGTTCAGAACGGGGCACCTGTTGTCAGACGACCCGTAGTGTATTTTTTAAGACCCACAGGTAACTGGTTTGTAACTGGTTTGTAACTGAATTTGCATAGTGAGTTATGGTTATCTGTCACAACAGACCTCTTCTTCTTTAAATCAGCCAAACGTAACCAACATGTACTGGTTTAAACGCTTAAAAGCCACTCCTTCGAGCCGGATTTGAACCAGCGACCTAAGGATTCCTGTGATCAACTCTTTGTCTGGTACACCCACTACAGTCCTCCGCTCTACCAACTGAGCTATCGAAGGGATAAGAGTATTCTAAAAATAGATTGGATCTTGACCTTAGCAGGTGAAAGAAAAATATATATTTACTTGTAATTGTCATAATTGGGTCAAACTTAGGAAACATTAGTAATTATCACACATTTTTCTGTAAAAAGACTTGAAATTCATGTTGACTTACAGCCACGGCCTTCAGTGACTGCACCACGATCCAGTGGATCTGGTCAAACAGTCGGCTGGTCACCTCCTTCCCTCTGGTACTCTCTAGGTACAAACGGAGGTTACTGACCGTCCACTTGCCTCCATGGACGTGGTTGTAGTCATCCTGCGTTCAAGGTACAAGGTCTAACTAAATACATTTTGGGACTTTTTCACTTTGAATCTTTGACAGCTGTTCAGTGTGTTTGGAGCTTGACTAAAACGCTAACTTGGACTAAAAGTCAGGATTTTGTAGCCACTGCTGCTTCATCAGACCCCAAACTTTATGGAAGTGCAATGCTGAATTGGTGGAATACCCCTTTAATATCTAATCTAACTTATAACTCACTTACTGATACTAAAAGCTGATTTAAAACACTACTTACCCCATGTTTTTGGATGGCCACATTAGTGAGGTGAACAAACATGTTGTCCAGTTCACTGGTGCTGGGTGTGTACTTGACTGTGCAGAACCTGCAGAAGCCAAGCTTGTACCTAAGCATCAAACAATAAAGAGAGAGAGAGAGAGAGAGAGAGAGAGAGAGAGAGAGAGTTGACATTATTGATTCAGCTCACAGCCATGCTGTCTTCTATTATAGGCAGGTAATAAATCATAACTGGCACCAACAAAACGTCCAAATTCAAGGCTTACATGTAGCATTTCAGAGGCCGATATGTGGTCACCAGAACGTAGAGACGCAGGTCAAACTTCTTCCCTCCGATCAGCAGGGGGTTGTCGATGTACAAGGAGATGACGTAAGCCTCTTTGCCACTAGATGCTGCTACAAACCTGAAAGCAAAAATAAAGAAGCCAAACGTCAGCAAACCACAAACCTATGACCAACTTCATGTTTTTACAAAAACAATCAATAACAGTTTTGGGTGTTTACCTGGAAATCAAATGCTTATAGAGAAGATTATACAGGTTGTCAAGAGCAATTCAAAATGTTTTCCCTTTTTCTTCATATAGGACAATGTATTGGGAATTTATTGTTTTCTCAAATAAGACGTTTTTACAAAAAGATAAAGAAGACAGAGAATATACGACACCATGCTAATCTATGTAAAGTGTAACCTCCTCACAGGGAAGTGTTTACTGGCTGTGTGTGGTGACGACGACCCCGGTAACTCACGTTGAGGTGCGACTGTCTCTGGACCACTTTTTGATCTGGGACAGCTTGTTGATGAGGAATATGCCTTTGCCCTGAGCCTTCCCGCAGGGCTTCATGATCCAAGTGCTGGATGGGTTCTTGCGGTACTCCTCCACAAAGAGATTATAGTCGGCGGGGAGCATGAACGTCACGGGGACAAAATCTGCACAAAGCATAAAGCAAATAGTTAAAAATGTTCTGCTTCTCTGTGTTTTGTGAGGAAAACAATCAAGTATGTGTGCAGTTCTACACTCCTCCCTTCCAGCAGGGCTCTAATCAATACCTAAATAAATGTATTTCCCGTTCTCGTCCTTCTCTGCCAGCGGACTCCCTTCCTTCTCCAGATCCTTGCGGTAGCGTTTGATGTTCTTGATCATCAGGTCCTTCCTGGTCAGCTCGTAGTGGTTGGGGAAGTGGTTAACCATCTGGTCATCTGACAGGCGGTAGCCGGTGTCCACACTGAAGACATTTCTGATGGTCTGGATGCTCATCCTACACGTGGGTGCAAATGAACTTGCTTTATGGCGGCCTAATCAGTCTGAAAATAAGCTTGGTGGTATGATAATTACTCATTAATTGACATAAATAGGATTAACTTGCACCCTTTTCAGTACAGAAGATAATATTTTGTGCTACTTTATACTTCTGCTTTTACTCCTCTACATTTATTTGACAGCTTGAGTCAGTAGTTCCTTTTTTTAGATTTATATTTTGCATTAAAACATATTATAATCTTATGAAACATAATGCATTTCTAAGGATTAAACCAGTTTTTGTCTGTTTGGAGTTTTCTTGTCACATTTCAGATGTGTATAATTTGTCAGCAGTACCACCAAAGCAATATTTCCTCTCTGAACATCTCAGTTGGTTTCATTTAAATAACAGTCTGAGGCCAGAAAAGGGTCAAATAATCCAATGTTTCAGGAAAAGAGCTATGATTGGTTTTCTTTCCTGCCTCATTAATCATCTCACAGCCCCACAGATTTATCATGAGACTGTTTGGAGAGGCCCCAGCCCCCAGATTGGAAAGCACTGGGACTGATTGTTTAGCAGGATATGTAGTATTTTACATTGTGGTATGAGTAAATGAGAATATGAATACTTTTCCTACTACTGCCTATGCAGTTTGTGGGGCTTGCAGAGTGCAGTGGGCTAAAGGTGCAGGTGTAATGTAGATGGAAAACCTACCAGTAGAAATTCCAGTCCTCGTTTTCTGTGACTGGAATCCATTCTCTCTTCTCAAAGTTGTTGATGAGCACTGATTTCTCAATATCTGTCACCCACTTCACCTTACCGGCCATGGTGCCTCCCACTAGGGTGGAGCACAAAACAACAGGTAAACACATAGGACTAAATATGGTACAATGCATAGGGAAGAGAAAAAAAAAAAAAAAAATGCATGCAGCTACCATGCACCTACCTGCAAATCAATGTCAGGAAACAGCCAGTCATCAGCATCAGCTAGCCGGGCAGGCTCAGTTAGCAGGCTGCTGAATCCTCCCTGGACTGCTGCTGCAGAGGCTGGGCGGACATCACCCAGTCAGTGATGCAATCTCACCAGACTGTCGTTATTTAGACTCATAGCGGAGGGCAGTTTATGTGCATGATGGATGGCTCAAGCTAGAGACCAACAAACAAACAAACTGCTCCCCATGTTATAGCTAACAGGCTAAATTTACTGATTGAGGCGTCGTGAAGCTGGACACAGCGACGAGACGCCTACCACGGTCAGACAACTCTTCACAATAAAAGCCTCGGTTGTTAAAACGTAATAACATCTACATATATGTATAATATAACATTAGTTTGCGGTTTGATTACAATTAAAGGGACATTTCCAAACGAGAAATGTCTCAAGAGCATTAAACGACGTCCGTATGGGCTTGGTCCTTCCGGGAGAATAACCTAGCAACGGAGGACGCAGTGATGTCATTGCAGGGTGTCGTTACCACATCCTACCAGCAGGGGGCGCTGTTGGACAATATATGGAATTTAAACTGGATTTAACAACAATGCTGTATATATATATATATATATATATATATATATATATGTATATAAAAGAGAGAATTTGCACGTTCTAGATATTTTATATAGGTTTGGCATCAGAAAAGGACACCTAGATATACATATTAGTCTCAAATTGTAATCTCTCAATTGTTATAACTTATTAAAAGTATTCTGTAAATTTTGTATGAAAATCCATCAAACAGATAAGTGTAATATTACATTTTGGTGGCTATCAGTGAAATCAGTCAAGAAATGTTGTAAAAATGCTTTAATAACATTGTGACACATTTATTATCATTTGTTATACATTCTGTCGATATATTACAAACCTTCCTAATGAAGCCAAATTATCATTAAAGATTAAGGGCAAACATATACCATGAATAAAAATTAAAATAAAGGAGGTAGACAAATATTTAGAATAGAGCTGTTTGTTTTATTTTATTGGAACATTCACATTTTTATTATATATACAAGTGTAACAGTAAATAATTAAACAAGAGTAAAGTGTTTATTACATATTACATGAGTTAAGATATAATAACAGGTGAGTGACGTTTCTGTAAAGCTAAACAAAACTTTCCTCTGTTATGGTTTTCTAAAGTTTTGTGACGGTGATGTCGCCCCCGTGGTGGTCACCTTTGGTAGCAGCAGGTAAAGGCGTGGCCAATCATATTTGCGTCAGTTACCTGAGAGCATCAAGATTAAAGGACGCTGCTGTAAGTACTGGAAAACACCTTACGAATATTTCTTTATTTTCTTTATTTCTAAAACATTCCCATTAACAATGTCTTTATATTTATTACAGGGCGGCGTCTACTTTAATCTACCCAAAAGGTAGGTTTTACTTTCTCTTTTTATTGTTGATGCACCTGTTTGACTGTCTGGACGAGAGCGTTTATTATATTCGTTTAATATTTAACATGATACCATTTCAACATGATACAATATGCTAGTTATTTTGGAAATGTAGTTTAAATGAATTCATGTCTGCGGGTTTTATGCGTAATTCAATATGTGTGATCTTCAAAACGACCTTTGTTTGCTTTGGGTTAGAAGGATGACTTCATCTCTTTGTTTTGACAATATGACAAAGGACTATAAGCTTATACATGATTAATACTTCAAACTGGCCTTTGTAACATTTTGGAGTATAGGCTATTATTATATCGTGATGGTTCCCACATATAATGTAATGGTAAATTGGTGTAAACAATGTAAAGATAAATCCCTATAATAACACACAAGGAGAGCCTTTTTTAAAAAAAAAAAAACTTTATGGCAGATTAACTCAGGATTTGTAAGCAAACAAATATTTAAAGCCTACAAGTACACTATTTGGAACAAGTGTTATTTCTTTTTTCTTTTAGTACAAAAGGGCCGTTTGGTTGATTTGAGTTATGGAAATGGTGCATTTGCATTAAAGTGCAGGCACAACAGGAACTGGTCTGAGGACAGGTGCACGTAGGAGGGAGCAAACCTGTTTGTTAGGGTAAAACTGAGAATAATAAGTTGTAAATCAAGTCATAAAAGGTAGATAAGATGTTCAGTTTCTTGCATAAACTAATCCTAACCATCTGAAGGGGAACTTAAATACACTTTTCTTGCAATAGTATGTGGGCTACAACCATTGGACTTGATCCAAAAGATGATGTCACCTCTTTAAACCCAGGAGAGCCTGTTTTTTTTTTTATCAACATGGATATTCTCCCCGGTAACACAGCCTGCACCTATCCTGGTCACATGACCCAAGTATTTACACAGCCTGTTTATGAACGTTGGCGTTGAGCAAGGATAACACACAAACACCTTTTAAAACCATGGAGCCATTAAACTGCCCTGCGTGGCTGATAAAGTCACTTTCTCACACTCTCATGTACTAATATGATTAATTTGCCATAACTCTCCTCTCAGAAAACAACATGGTGGAACAAACAAGACAGCCGAGTCGTGTTGTATCCCTCCAGGCTGGACCTGGTGAGGTGGACACTGGCACCCTGTTTGACATGAACCTCAGGTACAGTTCAGACAGACTGCTTATAAAACAATATAATAATATACATAATATATTGTAAAAGGCTTTTGTTTGGAGAATCACTTGGGGATAGGATTTTTTTTTTTGCCTTGGATGAATATGAAAAAAGAAATGTCTGTTCCTCCTTCAGGATCAATGACAGAGCTGCACGGGCCTTCGGGCGCCAGTTGGCCGTAATTGGAGATCAGCTGGAGCAGGAATGGGCCAACAGACAGCCAAACTGGCTACCAACCCCCCTCCACATGCTGAGACCCGCTCAGGCACTGACCAGGACCATCTATCGGTATAAAAACATTTTTAAAAAAAAGATCTTTCTCTCTATTATTTTGTGTAACTGAAGACATTGCAACCTGGTGCTGCTCTCTTGCAGGGATATCCACAGTCAGTTATGGGGCCTCCAGGGCCTGTCCGCGGCAGTGAAGGCCTGGATAGCGAGCACTGCACCCGGGCAGGGGATCCTCAGAGCGGACACCTGGGCGACCTGGGTAAAACTCATGTGGTATTACATCCGTGGCTCAACCATAGACTGTATATATATTTATATTTACATAGTATTTACACTTATAAACAAATCTCAGCTTACCTTTTGCTAAGCCCCGCCCACCCCATAGTTACTGTTGCTAGACTCGTCGCCTAGTGTTCCATTCTAGAATGACGTCACCGTGACAACCGGGGCAGATTTATAACTCTAATAATTCTTGGTGTTTATTGTGTTCTCATGGTCCCACTTTATGTTCCCAAGATCTATATGGTACAAGTTCTCAGGGTTCCCCGGTTCTAGGGTCAGGGGTTAGGGAACGTAGGACCCTGGGAAAAAAAGATATGCTTCCCACAAGCTGATGTAAAAAGAAACATAATGATTTGTGTGAGTGTTTCAGCGTAGAGCTAGTCTTATAGTACAGTATTATAAATACATCTTTAATCTGTTCTAACATTACAGCAGGAGTACAGGGGAACAAGTGTTTCTCTAACCTAGCCTGTAACTCCACAAAATAGTGATAGTTCATAATACGCCCCTTGCCTTGAGAAGTAACGCTAGGCCACTACTGTATGAAGGGGATTCAATTTGCAAATGGGACTTATTATGAGCACCGAAAAAAGGTTTTTTTTGTATAGAGAGCGCTCCCCTGCTCCCATAGTGACCGACAATCCTGCTTGCAATCAGATTAGGGATGAACTAATAGGAAATTACCTTCTACAATACAAAGACACTTTCAAAAAGAAGGGTTTGAAAACGCAATGTGAGAAGGGAAATTAATAAATCTCTCTTGAAAGAATAGTCCAGTTCGACTCACTCATTTTCTCATTTCACAGGTGTCCAACTTTAAACCAGTAACCTGCGCTGGCTGGACCAGAGGAGCACTGGTGACTGTGGCACTGGTGGCTGCGGTGACCATTTTCGGTGCACTATGGATGGAATGGAAAGCCTAAAAAGGGCCATAAGCAGGTCTTTTTCAGCCATTATATGTTTGACCAAAAAAAAAAAAAAAAAAAGGTTTGCAAATGAATGACAATTATTTCTAACTGATTTGTTTCTGCTGTTTACTTTTACTTCTCCTTTTACACTATTTTCATGAACTGCACTGAATTTGAAACCGGAAACAGGAGTAAAAAATAAAATAAAAATACAAATGGGTTTTACAGTGTTGGCCAGCATATTGTAGCAGTGACATATTGGTTCACAGTTGTATTAATTGTCAAAAAAGCCTAGTTTCCCATGACTGGACTGTTGCTGGCCTGCAGTCTTTTGTATCCTGATTACTTTCTTACTGGTTTAAGAGGCCAAAATTTTGTAATGAATTGATATGTAGCCTGGCTTAATATAAACTTAAGGGAGCTGGACTTTCTGTTTCAGACTTGAAAATGCTTTTTAATGTGATGCAAATAAACTTCAAAATGACAACATTTTGTCATCTTCTTTAATAAAAACTACAGGTATTTAATTACACAATACAACACAAAAAAAGACGGTAAGAAGCAACCACAGGAGCTTGCAGGTTCATGTCCACACATTTTTTTGACCTCCTGCTTGGCTGTTTTCATCACAGAGTCAACATCTCTGCATTATTAGTCTTCATTAGTGGTGCCTGTCACGTTTTCATAATACGTGGAGGCCTTCCTGTTACACTTTATGAGTGTGGCTCTGAGCTGCTTCCCCGGGCCGACCTCGTAGGTGCGAGGGAACTTCTCTCCCTGCGCCCTCTCGTAGATCTCGTGCAGAGTTTGCTCCCACTTCACAGGCGACACCAGCTGCTTCACCAGCTTCCTGCGCACGTGGCTCTCGTTCATGTAGCGTTTGCCATCCACGTTGGAGTACACGTTGATCTCAGGACGACGGATCTGAACGGGGGCAGAAAAACAGAGCGGCGTTAGATGTAGAAGAACTAAATCAGTCGAGGTGTGCAACTTTTCCAGGAGTGGTAGCTCTATAATCTGAATTTTAGGCCATAATATTTCAAATATAAATATTAATTTTACAGGTCTTTGATGTGTTTTTGGGAGAAGTGTGTATTAATCAAGCTGTAACAACTACAAAGCAAAACAGACATGGAAGAAATATAGATTTTCCTTTCTATCGTTTGTAATTTTTTTGCCAGGATGGACTTAAAATAGGTCTTTAAAATGTCTTTAACCTGTTGAAACCTGCAGAAACCCTGAACAAGATGTAGATGAAGTTAATATTAAAGGGTTTGTGACCCCTAAATGTTTTCTCCATTTACTTCCATAACACACAATTGTAGGTTAATGATAGGTTTGTTACAGGGCTGCACCTAACGATTATTTTCATTAATCGATTAATCTGCAATTATTTTTTCAATTGGTTTTGTCTTTAATATGTCAGAAAATAGTGAAAATGCCCAAAATGGAGATTTTGGACCAACAATTCCAAGATCAAACAAAAGATGTTTAATTTACTATATATGACAAAGGAAAGCATCAAATCCTCCTGTAACCAACACACGTTTGACATTTTTGCTTTTTTTTTGTTTTGGAGATTCCCATGTATGCAAATTGTCTTAAAAAAGCATGAGGGATAGATTAATCTAGGAGTGCACAATGAATACATTATTGGCAGATAATGGGAAATTTATATTATTATAAATGATCCTAATAACTAAATTACAGCCAATAAATGATCAGTTCATTAAAATAATAACTTATTTTGAGTTCTTATGCAAAACTGATTGACAGGCTTTATGTTCTATGAAAGTATATTTGTGAAGTTTTTTTTAATAAACTTTACTGAAATCAGTAGTGACATCAGGTCAGATCTATCGAATGTTAAATCACTTTAGCCTTTCTTGCAATCAAGGATGCATAAACTACAGGTTATGAGCTTCTTTTTAAAATATAAAAACATGAAATTAGCGGTTATGTCAATGGTATTGACCATCAGAAGCAGGTAATCATTGATTACAGTGTCGTCTGAAAAAATAAATCCATACTGTGCATCCCTAGATTGATCACATCCGTCTGTAAACTAAATAAAACCATGACATATTGAGACCTGAGGGTCTAAAATAAGTGTGTGCCTTAAGGATGGAAGGACATTTATTGATATTGTGTCACCATATTTTACAAGTATGTATGTATGTATGTATAGTATGTATATGTTACATATACATTAACCACACATACAATTTACAAACATACCAAAATGGAAGAAATAAGCAATAAACTCAGAATCCTTTTAAAAACCCTATTAAATGCTGGTTGTCATGGTGCTTTCTGGATTTCTATGCCACAGCAGAAAGAGACTATTAGAGCAAAGAGTGGATGAAGAATATATCATGAAGTTTGACTGACCTCCACCTGTTGGAGCACCTCTTTGAGGGGTTCAGTAGCCGGCTCCATCAGCTTAGTGTGAAAAGCCCCACTGACCGGGAGAGGACTGGCCCTCATGAAATGGAGCGCTCTGGAGTTTTGTTGGAGGAAATCCAGAGCCTGGGAAGACAACGCAGCAACGATGAGACAGATATCAACAAGAGGAGTCAGTATGAGTTTAGCACAATGCTCTGTACCGTCTGGTGTCCTGCGATGACCCTGCCATCAGGGAACAGGTAGTTGGCCACCGAGCAGACCGGGTCCTTGATCCCCAGACTCTTGCAGTGATCTCTAGCCTGCAGACAGGCATAGTTATAACGAGCCTGTGGTTTACCGATGACTGACAGCATCCCACTAGGAACCAGCTCTGACGCTTTCTGCATGGCCTCTGCACGTACTTTCACCACATACAGAGCTGGAAGACACAGACGGGATAAATATATGACACACTGACTAACACCATTTACGTCTTTGTGCAGTATAAGTATAGGACACATGTTGTGTTTACCTTGTGCGTAGCTCATGGCACCGGAAAAAACCAGGGCAGCGAATTCTCCGATGCTGAAACCTGCAGCGGCAACACACGTCTCAATGGCCTGTGGACAGAGGAGTAAAAACATGAGCACACACACACTTCTAGTAAGAGTTAATGTGAATGAGGGACGCACACGTTGCTTAAAAGACACCGGTCGGCTGCCCTTGAGTCACAGTCCATCCTAAATGGTTCTTGAGGTGTTGTCCTTTAACTGGATTTGTCCTCTTAAACATAAGTAACGTCTTATAAGGGTGCTGCATTCAAGTGCACGTTTGAGGTGTTTTACTTGAGAATTTACATTTTATTCCACTTTATATTCATACTCCATTACTCTTCAAAAGGGAAATGTTGTGCTACTACACTTATTCTGCAGTTGTATTTATGAGTTACTAAATTTAAATTTAAACCAAAACATACAGCATGACCACCTTATAAAATAACATTTGTCTTTATAAGTTAAAATGCTGAACAGCAAATTAAGTTCCTAACATTAGCTCCACCACTTCCTCTTTATTTCAGTTGCAATAAATTTGCAGGTTAAGATTTTATATAACTTATGATTAGCTTTTAAAATATGATGCATTGTATAAATAAAACTGCCCAACAGTGTATATAATTGTTAAAATTAGCAGATTGTTTAATTTTAAGGCTTGACAAGGTGAGAGTATCCAGTGTTTCACAAGAATGCTTGTTGTTATCCCTTGCTGATGAACTTATGATAAAGTATTTTGTATGTTGTGATATTGCTTGTACTTCAAGTAATCATTATTATTAGTTTTTTCTCTAATAATTGTAGTTTTATTTGTCATCTAAATGGCTGTGGCTATTATTTAACCCAGAAAAACATTAATCTAAAATATTATTCACAAATAATATTATTAAAGGGACAAGTGCTGCAACTAATACACATTTGATTATTAGATATTGGGTCTTTTAATTAATTAATTGTGATGAAAATGGCCTTCACAGTCTATGGTGATCTGTTAAAATTCCTTGTTTTGTTGTCTAAAATTTAAAGATTAAATTTCCAATGAAGTAAAAAAGAAAGAAAAATAGTAAACCCTCACATTTTAGGGGACTTTAGCTACCTGGGGGTTTTCATGGTTGAGCCTCTCCACCGCAGCCAGTGAGGTGACGAACACCGCCGGCTGACAGTGAACCGTCTTCATCAGCTCCTCTTCGGGTCCCTCCAGGCACAGAGACAGCAGGTCGTACCCGAGGATCCTCTGGGCTACCGCAAACATTTCTTTAACGTTAGGGTACTTCAAAAGTCCTCTACACATGCCCACAAACTGGCTGCCCTGCCCGGGGAAGAGGAGTACGGAGCGGGCGCTTGGGTCTTTTTTGGGTCTCCGCTGCTCCGCGGCTTCGCTGTCCGGGAGAAGAGCGGTGGATTCGGGCGTGAGGTGGCGGGTTCCATCGGTGGAGAGGCTCCGGCTGAGGGAGACCAGCGACCTGACCTTCCCTCTGGAGGCTGCTGTGAGGCTGAAAACCACTGATGCCAACATGGCGTAACAAAGGGTGTCCACCCGGTTAAGATAGACCCATAATCTGAAATCAAACTGTAACTTAATTAACGCAAAAACTCAAACTTTGTGTCTCTCTACAGTCAGCATGAACCAATCCTGGGAGCCACCATGTTGATTGGAGTCCACAGGGTTCATTTTATTTTTCTTCCGGGTTATTTTTCGGTTCCTTCCTGCTGTGGCGCCACCCTCAGGTCACAATATGTCATGGTTTTATCCATTATTATTACTATATTATCCACAAAATACATTTACCACATCACTCCCCATAATCAGTGGTGAAGGAAGTAAAAGTTATTAACACCAAACTGTAAAAATACTCTGATTACTCTAATTACAATTAGAGCCCTGCAATTACAATGTGTTCAATGCAATGTCAAGAAAAAAAAAAAAGGGTTTATTTTTTATTTATTTGTTTGTTTTTCTGTGGTCTGTTGTTGATTCTTGTTTCTTATTCATATGTTTACTTTATGAAATGCCATACAATTTTTTGGAGAGGTTTACTTATTAATTGAAGGTACAAATAAAAAGTATTTAATGTAGAAAAATGTCCCCTGTGACTGTTACACTATTATATCTTACAGGATTAGATTATTAGTACTCATACATTAATATAAAAGCTGAATTGGAGATGATTATATATTTTGAATAGGACTGTTTTCATTATGGATTAATCTGCTGATTATTTTCTTGATTCATTGATTCTTTGTAAAAAAAAAAAAACCAAAAAAAAAACTGAAAAGAGCCCAAAGTGACACTCTCACAATGCCTGTTTTATCCAACCAACAGTCAACACCTCAAAATTATGTTAAAACACATGAAAAATGTTAAAATAATTAAAAAGAAATGCAGCAAATTCTCACATTTGAGAAGGAAATGTCTCTTAATTTTTCTGTCAGACTGATTCATTGACAAATATTATAACATCTTCATTTGTTTTATTATGCAAAAACTTAAAAGTAACTAAAATAAACGTAAAAAGTAAAATATTTCCCTCTGAAATGTGGTGGAGTAGAA